GGAAGATAGTTACCCCGAAATGACCCCGACAATTGCAACCCAAAACGGCAACTAATTACTCCGAAGCGTCACAGAATATCCCGCCAACAATGCAATGGCTAGCACGCAAAGCTAAAAAACTTTCGGGAGGGTTATCCATTCTCTACTTTGACCGAACCCTCGCTTCTTTTTCCCTTACCCAGAGGACGCCCAGCCATCCATGTGGGCTTTCTTGTGTCCTTCTCGTATTGCGTGTGGATGTGCTGCTGGTGTGTGTGGCGTGGCGTGGGTGCACACACTCCCAAACAGGTCCAGAGCGTTTTTGCTGGCGACACTTTGTTCAAACCATACACAAAAACGAATATAATGGTCCTGAGTATAGGTCCATATCGTCCGAATACGCAGAGTTGTTACAAATCTATCGCTGTAAGCTCCCAAAAAAACACTACTTACTCTGGGCACCATCTGAAACACGGTTCTCACCTTTTTCTCACTCAGAACTTCGTGAGACGAAAACAGAGTTGGGTGGTCCTGAGCCGCTCGACGAGAGCTTTTCAAATACGCGGTGAAAACAGAAAATGGACCTCATACTCTACCTACTACTTAAACACAACCCAAATGTTCCCAACAATTGATAGAATCACAATTTCCCGCCAACGAAAACCACAACCAAAACTCTGCTCTAACCAAAATACCCGCCTCTAGAAGAGTTTTCAAACCACATGCTGCATGTCACCAGGGAGGTATGTCAGTCACTCTGCACAAACAATATCTTTCGTATTTTTGCAAATGGTGGAAAACTCCACCGGATGGACTATACATCCACACCATTGAATGTTTTTTCTTGATTGGATGATGAACAAGACTCGCGGACAGTGACTGATAGGCCAGGAAAATACCGAAGAAGATAATGTTTTTGCCAGTCAAATAGACCAGAAAGAATTTAAAGTAGAGAACAAAGCACAACAACACAGAAAATCGTTGCGCTCGTTGCCGAAACAAGGCAAGACAAAGAAACTTGCTAAAGGGCACACAACGTGCGCCAATCGATGGAACCGGGTTAGAGGAATAGAGAAGATCGTGCCGGTGGCTTACTAACCCTTCCGCAGAGGTTTCCTGAAGAATTTTCCGACCTCGTGTTGATGCAGCAGTGGGGTGCATCCGCTCAACGATCGCAGCGTACGTATTTCCATCAGCGGACGAGTACCACTACCGAGCTGTGTTAAACAACTCTGCAATGAACAAGTGTGAACAATAAACCTGGGCTTCGCTACAATCAATATGTTTCATATACTCAATGCACAGTGGGTTCAGGGGGCACTGCAGGTCGGAGCCAATCTGTTTGTATTCGTCGATTGGGTAAGAGGCGATTGGGACACGAGTCCGGCGCATGTTCATGAAGCCACGGGGAGGAACCTTTTTTCTTCATAAGTCAGAGACTCTTTCTTCTCACCGTATCGATTTCATGACTGCATGCATGCGTGGCCGACCAACGTTGTATGCCGTGCTGTTCATCGTTTCGATACGGGAAACTTTACCGGGGGCAGGGTCACCTTTTGATCTCGCGGCGAGCATGACGGGGGCAAGAACGATATCTGCCTCGTTGTAGTAAGCTTTGTTGGGTGCCTCGTTTCATCAATCTCACGATTGAATCGACATGCCGACAGCGCAACACAGATGTACTTTGGGATTGGTAGCAATAGGAGGGTTTTTGCTGATACTTCCTACTGTCTACCTTGCTCGGTGATCAGCTTCTCCACGAAGCCGTATTGCCGACCCTTCCATACCTCTTATGTTGGGATCGATTACAGTGAGGGTAGAGTAGTACGAGAGGCACTGCACTTCGAACCCGTTGCCCTAAGGTCCAGGTTGGAAACAATCTGTATCTGATCGTCGATTGGGCAAGAGAAGCAACACCAGAAAGTCGGCAATTGGGAAACGGGTTCGACGCATGTTCATAAAGCCACAACGAGGAGCCTGTCTGTTTTCTTCATACGTCAGAGACTCTTCCTTCTTACCGTATCGATTCATGACTGCACGCATGCGTGGCCGACCAACCTTGCGTGCCGTGCTGTTCATGCTTTACCGGGGGCAGGGGCACCTTTTGATCTTGCGGCGAGCATGGCGGGGGCGAGAACGATTCTGTCTCCGCGAATGAAGCTCTCTTGGGTACCTCGTTTCATCAATATCACGATTGAATCGACATGCCGACAGCGCAACACAGATGGGCTTTTGACATATATTTAATTGACGGGGTATCGCTGATACCTCCTACTGTCTACCTTGCTCGGTGATCAGCTTCTCGAAGAATCCGGATTGCCGACCCTTCCGTACCATTCATATTCTTCCCCATTGAGTACAGTAAGAATTGAACGCATCTTCGTAGTTAAGGAGGCACTGGATTTCGGGCCCGCTTCCTTCAGGGCCAGGTCGGAGCCAATCTGTTTGTATTCGTCGATTGGTAGAGAAGAAAGACCAGAAAGTCGGCAATTTGGAACCGGGTTCGACGCATGTTCATGAAGCCACGGCGAGGAGCCTTCTTTCTTCGTACGTCAACGACTCTTTCTTCTCACCGTATCGATGTTATGACTGCATGCATGCGTGGCCGACCAACGTTGTGTGCCGTGCTGTTCATAACATTGATGTGGCAAACTTTACCGGGGGCAGGGTCACCCTTTGATCTCGCGGCGATCATGACGGGGGCAAGAACGATATCTGTCTCGTTGTAGTAAGCTCTGTTGGGTGCCTCGTCTCATCAATCTCACGATTGAATCGACATGCCGACAGCGGGAAACAGATGGGATTGGGATTCAACAGGCGGTGTATTGCCGATTCTTCCTACTGTGTACCTTGCTCGTCAGCTTCTCCACGACGCCGGATTTACCGACCAGTCCTAAACTTGATGTTCGAATGACTACAGTGAGGGTTGAGCAGTACGAGAGTCACTGCATTTCGTGTCCGTTGCCTCCAGGGCCAGACCGGAAACAATCTGTGTGTATTCGTCGATTGGGTAGGAGAAGAATGACCGGAAAGTCGGCGATTGGGAAACGGGTGCAACGCATGTTCATGAAGCCACAGCGAGGAGCCTTTTTTCTTCATACGTCAGAGGCTCTTTCTGCTCACTGTATCGATTTCATGACTGCATGCATGCGTGGCCGACCAACGTTGCGCGCGGTGCTGTTCATAATATTGATGTGGCAAACTTTATCGGGGGCAGGGTCACCCTTTGATCTCGCGGCGAGCATGGCGGGGGCAAGAACGATTTTGTCTCCTCTTATCAAGCTCTCTTGGGTTCCCCGTCTCATCAATATCACGATCGACATGCCGACAGCGCAACACAGGTGTGCTTTGAGTTCAGTGGCAACAGTCGGGACACCGTTGATACTTCCTGCTGTCTACCTTGCTCGGTGATCAGCTTCTCGAAGAAACCGGATTGCCGACCCTTGCCTCCGCATTTCCCTTTGGCGCTTTGCGTGCCTCCACGTGCTTCCTTGCCGTGCCAAAGGCAAACCTCAGAGGACATTGTGCGTGCGCAATTCGCGAATAGACCAACGGCAGACTATGGAAGCCCGGAGGAGATGTTTTGCTTGAAAGCCCATCGAGATGCGGAAAGAGGCGGCTCGATCAAATGCTGGTGAGCACAGCTCTGTATCAAAGGTTTGAATACAAAACCAATTGCATCTCATGTAACCGAATGATAACACCCAATTCGATTCGCCCAGAAGCAGGCGTGGTCGCCTTGCGGGAAGTTTGAAATTTCCCAACACACCTTCAGGCCTCGTTTCGGTGCATCGAGGCGCCCTGTTTGAGGTCTAGCGTACAAAACGTGTATATTCGAACGGCCACGACGGGCGCGTCCTGGAGTAGCGAAGTCCGCTCCTTGAAATCGCAAACCATTGCGCGTGCATCACTTATCCGTCTACGTGAAGCCCGGGCGAGGCCAGTGATTACCAGTACAAGTTTTTGGTCTTCTTCGCACGCGAACGAACGGCAGCTGGTGGAAACGCCAAGTTGAGGCGCCAAGCAATAGCAAAGGGGAAAATATGTCTGGAGAGGCGACCGGTCGAACACGGCGACGAGGTAATTGCTGGTGCGATAACAAGATCATATGCGACGCTGACTCAACAACTTTGCTTCGGGCTTTCGTCACTCTGTTTTTCCGCTGGACGAAAATCAAAATTTCCACTGGTAGTCATATACAACGCGCAGGAGCATGTTTAGGTTGATTCGGGTCAGATAGCACATATGGTTGTTCCAGAACAGGTTTCCGCGTGTCGTACGTGTCATCGAAATATGTGCGCACGGTCAAACCAAACGTGAAAGTGAAGAATGCGCTGCCACAGACGGCTCCGGTATCAGCCTACGTACGTAATCGGGAAAATGTCAGAAGCGTGTGGTTTTTCTGGCAAGGGTACCATCCCCGTGTTTGTGCGTCCTTGTCCTCGACATGGCAGGAGCGAGATCCACTCTCTCACGTAGTAGTCGTTTTCTGCTCTCACTCTTGCACGTTTGGTTCCAGTTTAGGGACGCCATTCTGAAGGCTCTTGGACTCTTGTCCAGGGAGCTCCGAGGATCTCCGGGCTCATCTTGCGAACACCCTCACACTGCTTTCTCCAGTTTCGTATGAAGTGCTGCTCGAAGAGCATTCACTGGAAGTTATTTACACGCATTGGCCATAACTCCATGCCGCAGTATGCACCTCAAACTTTACCTTTCCGAACAGGGAGAACTGTATGACCTTTCCCTGCTCGTCTGGGAAATCATACTAATAATGGAAGAACGTGCATATATTTATTGCTCATGCTTTGGCACAGCGGTGTCGGTATGTTCCCACTGGCGCCATCTGTCACCCATCCATTCTTGTCCGAGACATCTCAGGTTCCTAGCAGCAGCAGCAGCAGCGGCAGCAGCAGCGGCAGCAGCAACGGTCAGCAAGCTCGATATCGTCGTTCGCGGCGTCAGTGTTCAATGGGCCCCCCAGTCCCCGGGGCTCCTTCGACATTTCTCCCGTGTTTGCCTCGATGCACGAGGAGGTCGTTTGGTTGGAGGTCGCCAATGAAGGCGTTGTGGTCGAGTCCCCGGCCAATACCGCCAACAGCACCACCCCCAAACCGTTCGCGATGTCGGGCGATGCGCCGGCTATGGCGATGGCAGAGGCCAATGAAGACGAACCTGACCTCGTGGTCATGGGAGAGAGGGTCGGGAATGACCAGGAACAAGTGTCCGAGTGGCACAACACCATGGTGGTGCTATTCTTCGCTGAGACGCTCTCGTCTCACCTACCACGCGGAGCGGGTATCGCTTCCGGTGAGGACTCGCTGCCCCCGTGGGACGGCGGCGACGTCCTCGGCAGCGAAATGCCCGGAATCGCCGACCATTTGGCGGGCACGTTCAAAACCACGCCGTACGACGCCTTCGGCGTCACCGAACAGCTTGCGGCATCGCCGATGGAAGATGGCGTTCAGACTGCTGCCGCCACCCTCACGCCACCCTTGCCCGTGGCCGTCGCCACCGCCATTGGTGGCGACCAGGTGGCCGTTGCCACCGCAATGAGCGACCAGGAAGACGACGAGGGCGGTTACGCTGCTACTCGTCTGGACTGGGATGTACCAGGAGTAATGCGACACACCAATGTCGGCCCGCAGCTGCACAGGGCGGGTCGCGTGGAGTCTAACCCCTTTTAGGGCCGGACGACTGGTTGAAGGAATGTTTCGGTGGGCTTGAGGCTACTTCACATGGCTGACTAGTCCCGGAAGGCGTGAGGAGCAAGGTAGCCAGTCGGAGAGAACGGGGGAATAAATTTGTTGCACGTTACACTACGTTTTCCCGTCCACTCATGACTTAGTTCTCTGTTGGGTGCAGTTCTCACCCTTTGCTTCGGAGCATGCTTTTTCTGCTCTGCCTCAAGTCCAACATCACCAGTGGCCACGGCCCGTGTCTGTCGCTACATTTTGTTGTTCGAGTTTCTATTATTGAACAAATCGTTTTGGGCAAAGAAGTATGTATGTGGTGATGTTTCATCTTTGTCTTAATATCGTCATTCGCTATGGTCCTGGACAGTTCCTCCTGCTGGCGATGCTGTCTGACCTTGCTGCATTTGATGTTGCAGGGGTAGTCTACCCGATGAGCGTCGTTGGTGTGGAAGGGAAAGAGAGCTGTTTAACCTTGCCAATACTGGTGCTGCAGGATTGCCATAGCTTGGCGGCATTGGTGTGGAAGGGAGAGGGGCACGAAGATCATGTTCGTATGAAACGTTTCAAAGTGTTTAGCATGAGTGTGTGTATGGTGCAAAGAGGGGTGGCGGGATGGACGATGATGGTGGCATGCTATGCAACCTCCCGTTTTCCTTCTTTGTGTGTGTAGTGGTGTTGAGTGCCACGGACGAAGCTTGGTCACGAGGGGGTCAGATAGAGCGATGGAGGTTACGGTGTCGGGTGAACTCCCTTGGGAGTTCGTGATCGGTGCCCTTTGCATGCATGTTTCCCCTAATGTTTCTACTACAGCGTGAGTCGACAATATTGTGTAGAAGGAGATCGCAGAAGATCGCACAGCGGATGGCGGTAAAGTTCGTTTATCGGGTGGTGGTAAGGGTGCGCGTTTGTGGAGCTGTTGCTCAGTGGGTGGTGGGCGAACTCTCTCGGAAGTTCGTGATTGGTGCCCTTTGCATGCACAATTCCCCCAAATTATACTCCAAAATGAGTTGACATTATCGTGTAGATGGAGGTAGCAGAATATCGCACAGCTGGTGGTGGCAAAGCTCGTTTATCGGGTTGGGTGAGGGTGAAGGTCCATTGGTAGTGTGCATCTTGTTTATGGAGCTGTTGCGTAGTGGGTGGCGGGTGAACTCTCTTGGAAGCTCGTGATTGTGGTGCCGGTTGCATGCACGTTTACCCCAATGTTTACCTAGATATCGCGTGAGTTGACATTTTTGTGTAAAAGGAGATCGCAGAAGACCGGACAAAGGGTGGTGGCAATTTTCGGTTTGCCGTGTGGTGGTGAGGGTGAAGGTCGATTGGTAGGGTGCATCGTGCTTGTGGAGCAATTGCTTAGTGTGTGGCGGGCGAACTCCCTTGGAAGTTCATGATTGGTGCCCTTTGCATGCGCCTTTCTCCCAATTATACTCGAAATGAGTCGACATTGTCGCGTAAATGGGATCGCAGAAGATCGCATTGAGGGTGGCCAAGTTCATTTACCGGGTGGTGATGAGGGTGAAGGTCGATTGGTAGTTTCCATCGTGTTTGTAGAGATTGTTGCGAACGCCAAAACAGCTTAGAGGGTTCCGACCATAGTCTCAAACTGCAGACTGCTACTTAGATGGGACTTGTCCAGGGTTGGACGAAACGGCCGTGACTTCAGTAGTTCGAACATGCCTCAACACTCCCTTGCTTATCAAGAAATCGTTCGTTCGAAGCGATTGAAGGCGGTCACCGTGGTATATTAGGGTGCTCGTAGTCGGGAACCTGTGCTACACGGTAGTCGAGAGGTACTGCAGGACAAGCAGTTCTCCAAGGACGAATCGTTTGTCTGGTTTCGAGGCAGGCCCAACTTTGAAGCCAGAGAAGGACTATAGACTATGTAGACAAATACCACTGGCTAGATAGAGTAGCCATTGGGGGGCTACGGTCTCGATCGTATAAGCCATTTATCGTGGTTGGAAAGTTGTTGCTACCTGCATGGTGTTTATCGGTGTGGTTGTTGTTGTGGTTGTTGTAACGGTGAAGGGGGGGGTGACGAACGACAAACAGGCCAGGGGTTGTATTAACAATGTGATCGATCTTGTTGCCATGCGTGGTGACGTATTGCCGAACGAAACAGCATGAACGACGGTGCAACTGTACACCACAAGGGGAGAAGGGGGGGGGGGGGGGGGGGGGGGGGGNTCCATGGGGCCGTCCAAGTAACTCTTCATCCCTATCCCTTCTTTCAACTTCCCGTATATCTCCAAGTGGTCTTCGCTTCGTACCTTCTTCCGAAGGGTTGCCTCCTCCCTACTTTCTAGCATCTCCTTGACTTTCTTCTTGAACCCCCCAAACCCTTCCGTGTCCAATGTCTCCTCCTCGTCTCCTACCTCCTTCCAAACCCTCTCGACCACCTTGTCCCATCTGATTCCTTTCTTCCCTGGAGTCGCTTTTCCCCAAGCTTCCTTGTCAACCATGGCTGGTAGTCTATCGTCCGACCTTCTACTTACCTTGTACTGCCAATTCAACTTTTGCATGTCTCTCTCTGTATTAAGAGAGTACATTCCCAGGTCTGCTCTCAATACAGTGTTGCTCNACCACCTTGTCCCATCTGATTCCTTTCTTCCCTGGAGTCGCTTTTCCCCAAGCTGCCTTGTCAACCATGGCTGGTAGTCTATCGTCCGACATTCTACTTACCTTGTACTGCCAATTCAACTTTTGCATGTCTCTCTTTGTTTTAAGAGAGTACATTCCCAGTTCTGCTCTCAATACAGTGTTGCTCGTTGTACTTGAACATCCTAGTATTTTCTTGGCCGCTGCCATCTGCACCGTTTCCAGCTGCTTGACGGCCTTTTCATTACCTTCCCATACTTCTCCTGCATACTCTAGCTTAGGTACAATCACATTCAAGAGAACACACCTCTTAATCCTAGTGTCTAGGTGTGGGTCCGTAAGGATCTCGTCCATCTTGCCTATCTGAGCTTTACCCTTCCCAATCAACTTTGCTATGTGTGCGTCCCATGAGCACTCCTTCGAAATCTCTACTCCCAGGTACGTATACCTGTCTACTACCGGTAGTTCTTCCTCCCCCCATTTCCATTTGAATTCTACGGGATTTTTCTTGTCTTCGTTACAGACCACTACTGCGCATTTTCCTACGTTCGCCGACAGTCTCCATTTTCGGGTGTATCCTACTGCCGCATCTATTTGTTCCTGCAACCCTTCTCGTGTTTCGGATACCCTCACGAAATCATCTGCAAACATCAGTGCGGACACCNAGTTCTTCCTCCTCCCATTTCCATTTGAATTCTACGGGATTTTTCTTGTCGTCGTTACAGACCACTACTGCGCATTTTCCTACGTTCGCCGACAGTCTCCATTTTCGGGTGTATCCTACTGCCGCATCTATTTGTTCCTGCAACCCTTCTGGTGTTTCGGATACCCCCACCAAATCATCTGCAAACATCAGTCCGGACACACTCTTTCCCCCTACTTGGACTCCCTGTCTTACTGCTTCAACCGCCCTTATCAAGTCGTTGATGTAAACCTTTAAAAGAGTGGGTGACATCGTACAGCCCTGTGCGACTCCTTGGAGTATATCCACGTACTTCGAGATTTCTCCATCCAACATCACTGCACTTCTTGTGCATTCTGTCATCTTTTTCAACATCCTCCACATTTTCCCCCGGATCCCTATGTCCCACATTTTTTCCCACAATCCATTGCGCCAAACGGTGTCGCAGGCGTATTGTACATCTAGGAAGAAACAGTATGTCGTACGCCCGGCGTCTTTCCTACCTTGGATAATTTTACTCAACGTATATACATGGTCTACACAACTACGATCTGGTCTAAATCCAGCTTGTCCTTCGCTGATCTTTTGTTTCCCCTCCAACATGTCTCCCATTCTATTGTTTATCATCTTGCCAAAGAGTTTCCCCACTGTGCTCAGCAAGGTTATCCCTCTATAATTCCCCGGGTCAGTTTTTTCCCCCTTCTTGGACAGGTTCACGACTACCCCTTCTCTCCATCTCTTCGGCGCGTACTCGTGTTTCCACATCCAGTTGAATATCCGGTCCAACATGTTAATCATTCCCACCCCCCCTCGGTGATTGCCATCGGGGTTGGGTTTTCGTCGCTTGGCAACGACGTTGT